TGTATGGGGTTTAATATGTGTGACTGTCCCCAGGTTAGGGAGGGCGTGTATGGGGTTTAATATGTGTGACTGTCCCCAGGTTAGGGAGGGTGGGTAAGGGGTTTATTATGTGTGACTGTCCCCAGGTTAGGGAGGGCGGGTATGGGGTTTATTATGTGTGACTGTCTGCAGGTTAGGGAGGGCGGGTAAGGGGTTTATTATGTGTGACTGTCCCCAGGTTAGGGAGGGCGGGTATGGGGTTTATTATGTGTGACTGTCTGCAGGTTAGGGAGGGCGGGTAAGGGGTTTAATATGTGTGACTGTCCCCAGGTTAGGGAGGGCGGGTAAGGGGTTTACTATGCGTGACTGTCCCCAGGTTAGGGAGGGCGGGTAAGGGGTTTACTATGCGTGACTGTCCCCAGGTTAGGGAGGGCGGGTAAGGGGTTTATTATGTGTGACTGTCTGCAGGTTAGGGAGGGCGGGTAAGGGGTTTAATATGTGTGACTGTCCCCAGGTTAGGGAGGGAAGGTAAGGGGTTTATTGAATTTTTTTTAAATTGATTGATACAGTTCATGATCCAAATGAAGATACTGGCAGGAAGCAATCTTGTGTATTCCTGGAGATAGACAGGTGGAGGTGAGAGTATGTGCACTCAGACGTCCTCAGTGACGGTGGATGTTGTCATAGATCTGTCAGCTGTTAATATGCTCTTGGTTTGAGTAACTGCCTTGTCAGGGATGTATTGATGAAATGGATGAGAACTTGCCCTGTCAGCCCAGGCTAAATAAGCTGAAGACTGATAAGTTTACACTCTGTTAGTCTAAAGGTCATTAATACATTACCTGTGTGATGCTGTGGCACATAGCAGAAGAATGTATTGATTCCCACCCCTAAGCTCCCATCGAGACAGTTTTGAGTGGTGTGTGTTTCCTGATTCTTTTTTCACTCTTTTCTGATTGTTGAAAACTAATGTTCTACAGTTGAAAGAACTTGAAACAGTCACTCTTCTTTAATTTGACCCTGTGCTTCCATGAATTTGCTTATGGATTCTTGTTTATATGATTTTAATTGTCATTGGTATGTTGTTATAATTTATTGAAGGACTCACACTTTTTTAGGAAGTTGGATAAATCCAATTGATAATAGTATTCATTTATATTGTAATCTGTTGTAGTTCCTCCCCATTTGCACTTGTTTTGTGACATTTTTTTTCTGAGAGATTAGTCCCTTTGGTGATATACCTGCAAAAAAGGTGTCCCATTCACAAACCCTGAAACGCCCCATCTCCGTTCTTCCCCAGCTGAACTGCCTGCCAGCCGACACCTGCAGTGATTTTAGTTTCTCCCGGAAGGGGCAGCTCATCGTCAGTGCCAGCCGGCCTCCCAGCAGCTTGCTGGGGGCTGCCCCAGGCTCACTGGTGTCCAATGGCTCTGGGCTTTGCCTGCCGGGCCGCATTTCACCCGAGCAGCTGCAGAGATGGATCCAGGCGGCAGCGGAGGTTGGCTCCCTCCCGTCACCGAAGTGCCACATTTCCCAGCCAGAAAAGCAGCGTCTCACATTTTTAAGTGATTTTTCTACTGGTATAATGTAAAGCGACTTAAAATAATGCCCGAAAAGATATTTTGCCCCACCCATATATTGATTGTTTTGGTGAAGTCATTAAAATTGGATTGACGAGGTAACAAATGGGCTGCCACTGGACATGACTGGTGCTGAGTCAGCCTGTTCTCCGCAGGGAAGGCCGACGGAGCAGATCAGCCTGCCTAAGCCGGTGTCCGGGGGCCTCGGCTTCAGTGTGGTGGGCCTCGGCCCCGACGGCGTGGGCGGCAATGGCGTCTTCATCCGGCAGGTGCAGCCGGGAAGCATCGCACACAGGTGAGCTGTCTCTCCCTTTACTGGTCCTGATGTTGTATGCTGGTTTATTTAGCTGTTTTTTTTTTTTTTTTTTACTGAATTTTAAGAATGCGTAGCTAGGCTGCATGGTTTGAAGCATGCTTGCAGTTTACCAGCTGACACGGTAGGGTGTCCTGTTGCGCCGTTACTCAGTGTGTGCTCCCTGGCGCCTTCCACCTGACAGCTTCTTCTCTTCCCGTAGAGATGGACGGTTGCAGGAGAACGACCAGATTCTGGCAATCAATGGGAGCCCCCTGGATAAGAACGTCACCCAGCAGCAGGCCATTGGTCTGCTGCAGCAGTCTGGCGAGCGGGTGGACCTGGTGGTGGCCAGGGACCCGGCAGCCCAACGCCTTGTCCGTTTGCCAGGGCCGGTGCAGTCGGTAAGGAAGCTTCAAGCTGAATGTGGAGGTGCCAGGATACTCTTCACGGAGCGTGTGCTTTTCAGGATCCTGCGGCACAGTGCTCATGGGCCTGCAGAATAAGACATAATTATTATTCCCCCTGAGGCCTTTATTTCTGTTTTCATTAATGCCCCTTTAATCCCTATGAGTGAGTGAGTGCCCGCTGCTGGCCGTCGGCTCCCCCATCAAGCTAGTTTTTCATTCGCCGCCCCTCCAGAAATCAAGTTAATTGAATTTTGGTGCTAAAAGAGCCGGGTTGTTTTATCGCAGCTTTCAAATTTAAGTATCTGACAAGAAGGTCAAAACAACAAAAAGCCACAACTATTCTTTCCCAAAAATATTTATCAATTATCTTTTTGGCAGTCAGTCATCTGATTTATATATTTGCGCTTTGTGTGAATGTCATGAAAAAGATTAATGAGGGACTTGGAAGAATCACCTATGAAATATTATGTATTGAGGCTGTAGCGTCTGTTTGCTCAGAGGTGTGACGGGACGCCTAACCGTTCCCCCCCCAAGCTGTACTTAGCAGTTTAATAAACAAAAAATGAAGGAGCGGCCCCCAGCGCATGTCTGTCATGGTGAGGTCAAAGCCCAGGATTATTTTGTCCACTGAATCACCGAGCTCTCACATACACATCTGCTTTCCCACTCTGTGGCTCCCAGGCCGTATAAACAGTTACACTCTCTCCCTTTTTTCTATCTATAGCTGAGCTTTTACTGCGAAAAGCTGAAACAATATTTATCCATCAGGGTGCCGTCTTCTAAGCTCCTGGGATTTTGAGCTCTGTGCCTTAAATGGTGGATTTAGCCGATGTTACTCTGGTAGACCCCCCCATTTAACAGTCTTGAGCCTGACATTTTCACAGAACACTGATTCCAGATTCTTGCAGAAATATTTTCATGCTAATTATAGTGCATCACAATGCTTAAAAACAAGCAGCTCTGCCACGTAGTGCCGGGCTGCCCTCTCCGGGAGGGACAGGGCTTAAACCACATCCCAGGCTGTCCCAGGAAGCCATTTTTCTCATAAGTGGTGCAGTGGCCAGAGGAGAGCCATGAGGAATGTCTTTTTAGGAAGAACAGGGGCTGCCCATTGCAGTAGATGATCTTGCTAGGGCTTTAATAGGAGGTGAGCACCTTGCCACCTGCTTTCAGCTGAGAAATAGTGTAAAGTATACCTACACATGTCTACTGCCTATGGCTGTATTAATGTCTTAGAACTGCTTTGATTTTCTTTCCAAACATGTTTCAGATTCTCGTCATATTTCATGAACCGGGGGGAGGGGCGACGTTGAGTGATAATCTAGCATCTGGGTCTCTTGGGTGTTTGTACTTTTCACCGTACTTTTCACCGCAGCATTAGGGTAAAGAGCAAGGTTCCTTTTGTGATATTTCAGCTGCTTAATTGGCCTGGTTCATTTCTCTGCTTGTGTAATAAATATTTTAGCTGTTAAAGCGGTGGAGCTTGCTGTCAGGGTAGGCGGGTCTTCAGACAGCGGCTGAGGAGGTAACAGGAAGCCAGCGCCGGAATGTGTGCCCTTATCTCTGAAGCGGCTTGTTGCTCTGCGCTAAGCATTTGGATAGGGACTCATCTGCCGAGGAGCGATGAGCGCTGCTCTTTCATTAGACGGGGAAAATTGCCACGGAAGTCACCCATCTGATAAGCAGGCTACCATAGAGGGGGGCAGGGGTGCCCTGACTGATGATCATTAATAAATCCCAAGGAGACTTTGGTGATTTAGGTGTGTGTGTGTGTGTGTGTGTGTGTACGTACGTACGTGTGTGCACGCACGCTGCCTGTGATCTGTGAGCGGGTGGCACGCGAGAGGAGGCCCTGGAGACTCTCTGACCCCGACTGATTAGCAAGTTACATTTCTGACCTTGAAGGGCCCTGGTTTTTAAGGACCTCTGTTCTCACGGCGCTGTGACCCAGTGGGTCGTGTCCAGCTCTGTGTGCGGAGTTCGTGGTTTATGACAGAGGGGCTCACTGCGCAGGGGGCTTGTCGACACCCTTAGGGTGTAAATGTGAGCGCTTGCACAGGGGGCCTGATAGACTCTCTAGGGTGTAACCCTGTATCACACCGCATGCTACCTTATGTGGGATAGGTTCTGCATCACTGCCTCCCTTATTGGATGTTGCTGAAAATGAAAGCATGGATGATAATTTACTCATTTTTATCACCCTAATTTATTGCATGGTAGCAGGCGGTGTGATGGTTATGGACACAGACTTGTAACGGAAAGGTTGCTTGCTTAGGTCCCTGGGGGGTGGCTTTCTTTCTAACCTTGAGCAGAGTACTTAACCTAAATTAGCCCATAAAAATACGTGAATAGATGAGTATAAGTCTTGGTTACTTAGTATGAACTCCGTGATGAGCAGCAGAGTAAGAACCGAAAGGGGGCAGTGCGGGGAGCTGGGAGAGGCAGCAGTGGCAGGGAGGCATCACGACTCCGCGTCACTCCGCTTCCACAGGAGCTGTGGGGCCACGTGGAGGAGATCGAGCTGGTGAACGACGGCTCCGGCCTGGGCTTCGGCATCGTGGGCGGGAAGGCGACAGGTGTGGTGGTGCGCACCCTGGTGCCTGGCAGCGTGGCCGACAAGGTTGGTGTGTCCTGCATCTCCCTGATGGTATTAAATATCTGGCTCAGCAAATGCCATGGTTTACGTTTTTTACGTATTTTTAATTCATATATATCAAATTACAAGCTAGCATATTTCTGAATGTGTTTAAAGTCAAGCTATATGCTCACTTTATTAATAATATAGTATTGTAATTCTATATAATGTAAGACAAGTCTGGTTGTGTTTGTCCTGTCTGTACAAAATGTAAAAAGACTTGTATAGGAATTGCGATTCCCTCGAGAGCAGCACTGTAAAGTGTTTAAATGCCGCTTGAGTGGAATGAAAACATAATTGAAAAAACCTTGTATCAGCTGTTATATAATAGCGGGGAAAGATCCCTGTCGGTGGGTTATGCTCTCGCAGGCCCTGCTCTCACCCGCAGGAGCCCCGAGCAGCTCCAGTCTGCTCTCATATCCTGCTTTCTCCTTTCCTTTTTGCTGTAGAGCTGTCCATTATAATTAACATTTGATTTTATTTTTTTTTTGCATCTTTTTGAAGTTCTCCCCAGCCCCTTTTCCACATGGAGCAGCCGGGCTTTCTGTCACCCTATAACCCAAACGCGCACTCGCCCCCGCCTTCCACCCCTTTTCAAAACTCCTGCTCCCAGCAACAAAACCCTCCTTGTTGGAAAGCCACGGCGTCGTGTTTCATACATCAGCGGAGCTCACGCTCCAAAAAGCTGTCAAAATTGGCCTTTTGTCCCCTGTCCTCCTCGCCTCTGCACGCCCCCTGCTGGCTGCCCTGCGCGTACGCACGTGCGCGGGTGGGGGTGGGAGACATGCGGCCTGATCGTGCTCTCGCTCGATGCTTTTGATGTCTTTGTTTTCATTTTCTGACAGATTGCTGTCTTCCCTCGAATGATAGTCAATCTCCCCCCCCCCCCCGGGTTTCTTCCAGAAGTTTCCCTGCTTACAGTTCCGTTGTTCGATACCTTGCCCGCTTTTCTGCCGACCTCAGCAGGCCTGAGGTGAATTCTCCATTCCCCACCCAGCTACCGGCAGAATGATACCCATGCTCGCATGTACCGATACTCGCCGTGTTTACTGCGTGACCGGAATGCATTAGGCGGCGGCACCTTCCTGCTAAACTGGGGAAGGAATGACATCAGCAGAAATGCATTTTCTTTTGCACTGAGCCATGCAGTGAGGTGTTCCTCCGAGAATGTCTCAAAGAAGCAGCTTTATGTTGTACTCCCTTTTCTGCCTGTTATCTGTCTCTCTCTCTGTCTGTCTTCTAACACGTATTCTGATCAGGGTCACGGCGACTATGCTATTATTACTAATAATACTATTAATATAGCATCAAGGCCAAGGAAACCTGAACCCAGTGGTTTTCCAAGCCAAGGAAACCTGAACCCAGTGGTTTTCCAGGACCACTATTCTTCATGCCAGTCAACCCCGTTCCACCAATGAAGAGAACATTTTATTTTATTATTATTTTTTTTAAATGTTGTGGCGAACCCAGGCTGCATTATTGATCGTGGTGAATTTCCCGACCTGGGAATAGCGTTTAAAACTTCTCTGCGACTTCTCTTTATTTCCGAAGTTATGGGTTTGCGGCGGCTGCGGCTGATCTGCAGTTTCATCCACTTAAGTCTCTGCCGTCTGATTGTGCGGACTCTTCCGTCAGCTGGGAAGTGGCTGTAGTGCTGACTGCACTCTTTTGCTTCTATTTTGCTATTCAGTTGTATCAGCAGGATATCGGTCTTGATTTACATAAGGAGGCTTACATGACTGGAGTCTTTAAGTGAGTCCCGCCACCGTCTGAACACCCTCCAGGCCCTCGGATACGGCCTGTAGAAGCTGGGTAGCCTCGCAGCGCCCCTGTCTGCCTTGAGAAACCTAAAAACATTTTGACTGGTGCCTGGTAACTGTCTGTAAATAGCACTCTGAAGTCTCACCCAAGTGGATGCTAACAGGAAGTGGAAGATGCAGGAAGTATGGGGTACGGGTTCTTTCTGGCACTCTCGTCTCAATGTCGCCTCCTACAGGACGGCCGGTTGCGCACAGGGGACAACATCCTCCGCATTGGGGAGACTCCGACTCAGGGGTTGGCCAGCGACCAGGTTGTGCGGGTGCTGCAGGGCTGCGGGAGTCGCATCAGGATGCTCATCGCCCGGGACCCCCTGGGGGGGCCGCACGTGGCCCCGCCGCCACCCCCGGCTCCTGCCGTCGCCCCTGTTTCCACGCTGCCTCCGGTCCCGGCTCCCTCTCGCAGAGGAACCAGGATGGTGAGTGTGATGGATGAAGAGGCGTATGTTCTTTTTCAGTCACTCTCTCATCTGGTTTCTGAACGGCATCACGGTCTGCGTCTGTTTCAGCCGAACCTGGATGGGTATGAGATCCACGAGGTGGTCCTGAGGAAAAAGGAGGGTCAGAGCCTGGGTATCTCCATCGTGGGCTACAACGCCATGACCAGCGAGAGTGAGAGCTGCCGCCGGAGCTAGGGTGGGGTCTGTACCCCAGGGGGCAGGAACACCACACGGGTGCCTGAGTAAGCGACCGCCATTCATGGTCTCTGTCCTTCTGCATTTCAGATGCCGTGGGGGTCTTTATAAAGCACGTCATTCCAGGGAGCGCCGCTGAGCAGAGCGGGAATATCCGTGTCCATGACAGGATAATAGCGGTGAGCCTCTCCATCACGCTCTAATTATAATTTATCCAACTTTTTTGTATGAGGGAGAGGAGCAGAACCTGGCGGCAGAAGCTGGGATGCTGAGTACTGGGGAGCCCCCATCAGGCACGGCACCGTGTCTGCACTCCGCTACCTGTCTGAATAGCCCTTTTCCTGCAGCTGGACGGCGTCAACCTGCAGGGCTTCACCAATGAGGAGGTGCTGGAGGTGATGAAGCACACCGGCTCAACGGTCAACCTTACCCTGGTCAGGAAGATGGCATCCAAGGCCACGCCCAAGGAGCTCTCCCTGGATAAAGGTGAGTGGCGGTGCCCTGCTTACTCTGCCCCCCCCCCCCCCCAGCAGCTCACCTCGGCCACCTCCCCTCACTGGAGACCGCCCCAGTGCCTGCAGTGATCTGCCACAATGGCTCTGTGAGCTTCAGTGCACACCTTGCGTTTCCATAAAGCCTAATCTTTCCTTAAATGTCTTATTGCTCTCATCATAATTAACTTATATGTAAATAAGCGAGCAAGCTTTTAATTATGCAGTGAGAAGCACCTACAGACAGTGTCTGCATAACGTCCTGCTTGGGGCTTTCTATGGGAGAGTTATCACAGGCAGTCTGCATTCACAGTGCAGAGCTTCTCGGAAATCACCCCCTGCGGGTCATTAGCACAAAGTCACCTCTCACACTGCCCAAGGCTCATCTGCGGAGAAAGTCCGCATGACTTTGTGTTTTGCCAGTTGGTTCCCAAAACTGTCCATTTCACACGTTCCTGCAGCAGAACACCTGGTCTTGAAGTAATGAGTGGCTTGACCTGCACGGATGAGGCGAGCGTTTTTTGGGGGTTGTCCCTAGGTTGGGCGCTGAGAGGACTGCAAACGGTATTAGGTTTTTTTTTAATTTTATTTTTTTATCTCTGCATCTGTCCAAAAAACGAGGAAACGGTTCCACATGCCTGCCTGTTGGTCACATTGCTGCGGTGTCAGTCTTCATCGTACCGCACTGTGCCGACATCCAGCCTGGCGATGGTGCTCTCTGGACCGCAGAGGTGTGCGCTGTCCTCCCAGCATCCGCCTGAGGGCGCTCTCGTTCTCTCTAGTCCACAGGGAGCCCTCCCGCGTGTCTCTGAAGAGGTCGTCCGAGGTCAAGGTCCGCTCGGATGTGCAGAAGGCCCCCCCCGCCCCCGAGCTTGCAGAGAGCCCTGTCTCTGGGGTCAGGCCGCAGCTAGCCAGAGGTGAGACCTCGCTGTCTGCTTGACGCTTCCGCGGGGGCGCCGTCATCACCATGTCGCCGTGCAGCCCTGCTCCTCTGGCCTCAGTAGGTGATTGGTGGGTGTCAGCGAGGTGCTCAGAGCCGTGCAGCTCCAAGGACGAGGCCCCCCACCCAGTCTCCTGCTTATAACATTATAAATAGGACACGGTGCCAGAAAACTGCATCCCTTCACTACTAAATGAAACAGACTTATTAATGTGAGACAGGGTGATTCAGGTGGTTGCAGTGGGGAAAATTATGGCAGATGTGTGCTTGGGTGGTGGGCGGTATGGCTTTATCATTTAATGGAATCTGTGTTTTGGGCCGCGGCGTCGCTGTAATGAGTAAGGGCCTTCGAGGTGCGGAGCCCCTCCCCCGTGACTCCTGCCTGGCTCAGGGGTCCTTCAGGATTTGTAAGAGCTGCCTGACATCGGTGCATTGCTGGAACTCAATGCGGGGTCATGGTGAGGCTAGGCTGTCACTCCAAATCCCACCCCCCCGGCCCGGTTACTGTCACACTAGACAGCCCCACTGATACACTGATATATGTATCGGCACGCCAGGGCCGCCAGCGGAAGAACGGCCCGGCTTGAATTACACTGCAGCCTAATTAATCCAGACGGGGCCGTGTTTACAAACCCTTGTATGCAGGGTTTGTGTTGCATGGGGCCACCAGTGACGGGCCCCCGCACTGACGGGGCCCCGTGCTGGCAGCACATTGTGATCTTATTTCCCACAGTAAACTGAGATTGATTTTAAATAACACCCCTGCTGATGGTAATAGCCTTTTCTTTTCATACTTAATATCAAACTGTTGTTATGTGCTGACCATTAGAGCCCAGCATGAAGGATTTGGTTTGCAAGGCTCAGCTTTAAGGGCTTTTTTGGTTAAGGTGTTGAATTCTGTATCCTATGATCTCATGATACTGAATCCACCTCACAGCCTCTTGTCCATGCAGCGCCAGCTCCAGTATAACTTGTGTTTAAGTGATCTGGCCCTCAGGGTTGAGGGTTCAAATCCTGCCCTGCTCTTGTGTGTGCGGTTTGCATGTTCTCCAGGGTCACTCAGGTTTCCTCGCCCAGTACAGAAACTTGCAGTTAGGTGTGTTTGTCTATCAAGCTTATGGCGCTTTTCCACTGGCATACAGGAATCGAGCCATACCATAAAGATTCTAGTTACAACGCAGTTCCAGCTCGCTTTGGTTCCACTGCAGAAGCTCCAGCAAAAAACGGGCTGGTAAAAGCACTGCGGGATTTGGAGAGTGACAGTGACGTAAAACCGAAGAGATGCTGATTTACTGTTCACATGGAGTACATGGTTTACTGTGTTCTGAGAGTCTTTTGTTAGCATCAAACTCTACCAGAATTAGCGTTTGTTTGAGTAAAATTTTCATTACAAATCAATCTGTTCAGCTGTTCCAAGTAGGTGGCTGGAAATTTTTAGGTTCTGAGTTATCGGGAATGTACGATACTGCTGATAAAAAAGGGCATATTCTATATATTATTCATTATCTTCAGATTATTCATTCATATCGATGCAGAGCACCGGTGTCTGCATGTATCTCCGAGATGTTGGTGATGCAAACAGCTTTGTTTGGTCTGCTAGTACACAGGGCCATGTCAGCGTGATTATGGCTTGGGTACGGCTTGGTTCTTGGTGGTAGTAGAAAAGTACCAATAGATGGCAGATCCAGGAATCGCAGCGAGTCATAGTGATACACATACACAGAACCGTATTTTATATGGGAGGAATGTGGGCCATGCCGGGGAACCCAAGGCTGGATCTGAACCCTGACCCTGAGGTGTGGGGTGAACTCTGCAGCCTCTCGCTCACCCTCTCGGGGCATTTACTGCTGTTATTTTAAGTGTCTGCTTCAGTGTGTTGGTGATAATTTAATACCTGCTGGGCTTTGAGGTGCATGTGTGTATGTATCCCTTGATGACTGACCGTCTTCCCATCAGAGCTGCTAACCCTTCTTAGCGGTCAGTGTAAACACAGGGTGCCTCTCTGGAATTTAATCGTACTAATATGACAGAAGCAGATTGCCCCGCCCTGGCAGTGTTTGGGGTTCTTTGCCCCTTCCCGGGGCTCTGAGGATTGTGTGTGTGCAACCCACTGATGGGCTGGGCTGGGCGGGGGGGGGGGTCACTATCACAGAATCCCACTGGCATCAACAGCGTGATGTTTTTGTGATTTGTAACTCGCATGCCGGGTTGTCCGGTTTATTGTACGACGTGTGACTTCCTGTAACACCTTTCCTGGGCCTACACCCTGCTGGCTAGGCCTCCAGGGCTCTGCCCGCAGCGGCTGGGGATGCCCCCGCACTTTCCCAGTAAATGCCATTATCATGCTGCGCAGTTGGAGTCGTGCTGCGACTGGCTTCCCGCTCTGCCTATGTTAACACCCGCTTACCTGCGCCACTATCCCTGATCAAGGCCTCTAATGGAGTCATGTCGTTCCAGCACTGGACCCAGTGTTGCTCGCCGAGAAGGAGCTGAGGGTAAAGTGGGAGCAGGCACTGGGACCCGAGTACACAGTTCTGGTAAGAGCCCGTCTGCCACAGAGCGCAGTGAAGTGGGAAGCTCTGCCAGAAACTTCCAGGACTAAGGCCTGGGGAGTGAGATCTGTGGGAAGATGAAACCTTTTGTGTTGCCTCCCCCAAAGGTTGTCGAGTTGGATCCAGTGATCGAGGATGATGCTGAGCTTCAGAAATACTCCAAGGTAGCGTAATGGTGGTGACAATGTGCTGACAGCGGTTTGCTCTGCGGCAGTCTGGCCTGCTGCGTGACTCACTGACGCTGTCTTCCTTAGCTCCTTCCGATCCACACCATGCGGCTGGGCGTAGAGCTGGACTCCTTCGATGGACACCACTATATCTCCACCGTGGCCCCAGGGGGCCCCGTGGCTGAGCACGGGCTGCTGAGACCAGAGGACGAGCTGCTGGAGGTGAGCGCCTGACGGCCTTCCACATGCTGAGAGCCGCTTGATGTAGGGCTGACCTCTGGCGCCCCCTGCAGGTGAATGGAGTGCAGCTGTATGGGAAGTCCCGACGTGAGGCGGTGGCCTTCCTGCGGGAGGTGCCGCCCCCCTTCACCCTGGTCTGCTGCCGCCACCTGAGCGCCGAGAGTGCCGACCTCCAGCCCGACGTGGAGGAGCCACAGCTGGACGACTGGCTGAGCGGCGGACCGCCGCTGCTCCAGGTACAGCTAGCTGCACTCACTGAGGCACAAAAATGTTCAGGCATCGCTACCAATGCTGTCTGACCAGACGCTGCCCCTAACAAAGCTAGTGCTGATGGCTGCGCTGCATTACCCAGAATGCCTCATGGCAGACAGACATGCCCATTTCCAGGGTATGATATGGTCAGTACACTGTTTCTCCTTCACTATGTACACGTGGTAGCTGGGTTTTATATAAGTGTACTGTCCCTCGGCCATTCCTGCTGCGACCGTGACCTGATGTACGGTCTGACATGTCCGTCCCTCCTCCCTGTTTCTGCAGCAATCTTTCACATTTCCTGGGCTCCCAGGTGGCAGAAAGACTTGGTAAACAGCGGGTGTGGTTCAGGGCCACTGTGTGGCCAAGGGTTTTGAAAATAATATGAAGAAGTCCACCACCTCGTACTGTAGGATGCAATTCACCTGCCAAGCAGGTGGGGGGGGGGGGGCGTCTTCAGTACGCAGACTAAAACAGTAACCCTCCCGAACTCCCAGGACATTTTTTACGTTGTTTTTCTGGGGTGACGGAGAAGGTTTGTTAAAAGCCTCTAATAAACAATTCAGGTACAGGGAGGTGAAAACCACAGCCTACATGCACGCGTGTCTCCAGCCTGTGTGCCATCCTCATCCTGTAGGAACAGGCTATCCTGGAGGAGCCTGATGACGAATGGGAGGACAGCCCCCAGATGGAGCAGCATCACTTTGTGGAGGAAGGGGAGAATGTGGAAGTTGAGGAGGACGATGAGCCAGAGCTGGCTCTATGGTCCCCAAAGATCCACATGTTAGAGCTGGAGAAAGCAGACCAAGGCCTGGGATTCAGCGTTCTGGACTATCAGGTAGGAGAACCCAGCTGGCAATCCATCGGGGGAATGTTTTTCCCAAGTGTGCCAGCCCTCACTCTGTTCCTGGCTCTGGGCAACATCAGCCAAAGCCCTTAAAGGCAGATCCCCACATTGCTGAAAAAATTAAATGGACTGGCAGATCGATATCAGAGCCATGAGTGTGCAGATGCCCGGCACGGGAGACCCAGGGCCCAACAGCTAATGCTCTCAGAGGGCAAGGGTCCGTTTAGAGCGGCATGTCCGGGTTTCGTGGATCTCTTTTTAAAATTCAGGAGCCCCCGTCGATGTTCTGGTGCGACAGCAGGAAGTTGGCATTTGGAGCGGCCAGTGACGGGGACTTAAAACAAAGGGCTGCATCAGTACCTTTCTGGCAGGGGCCGTGTTTACATGGCAAGCGGCCAAAGCCGAACGCGGCGCGGCTTCACCGGCTTTACATGGGCAGCGTGTTCCCTTCCCTTCATTAGCCAGCCGTCAGCACCGACGGGCGTCTGCGTGCGTGATGGGGACACCGGCCAGGTAGCGCCGCTTCCTTCCCTCCCGGCTAAGTCTGCGCTCCACGTGCTAAAAGGAAATATAATGAGAATATGGTCAGAGCCGCGCTTTTACGGCGGCATCGCTGGAATATAACGGCCGAAGAGGGCCTGAGGATTTGAATCCGACGTGGCCGACCTCCTTGCCACGCCACGATCTGCCGTCTTGGCGGGGGCGCTCTTCCTTAATCACCGTAACCCAAGCGGTGATCCCTGAAATTCAGTCTGTCAGTGTCACGGCAGATGGGTCCTATAATAAAGAACAATGTCATGCTCTGTGTGCTTTTGCCCGTTCTGCCATGTCAAACCGTCATCTCGCTCTTCTGTGATTGGTAGTTGTTTTATCCTTTTCTCGTCTCCTCTGTGATTGGTAGATGTTTATTCGGTGTTTGAAGATTTTGGCCCTCCTCTGATGTCTGGGGGAAGCTTAAATGAGTCAGAGGGAGGCCTTCAGCCCTGCCCCTCTATCTGAGAGTGTGAACGAGATGCTCCATCGGTTGAGGGTGTTTTTTGTTTTGCAGCCAGTAATGAGCACTGGGGAGGCACCCCGTGCTGGAGACGTCCTCCCTTCCAGAGGAGGCGGTGCTGATGCCTGAGGGGCTGAGGGTCCCTGTGTGCCTGCGCCTGCCAGGGCCTTGTGTTTTCACCCTGGGGCTTGAGGCAGTAGGCGTGCGTCTGCTCTATTTCTCACATCAAGGGCAAGCCCTTTGTGTTAACACACACACGTGTGCGGCATCGTGGAACGCGAGTCAGCGTGAGGGAGGTATTTAAAGTAAGAGCAGGACACAAGCAAGACTTTATATCAGTCATTGTGTGTCATTCAGGGACCCAGAAATGCAACACTTAGTGAAATGGCTGTTAGGCCATTCGATGCTCGGGGTGCCGTCAGTTTCGGTTGATTGGTAAGGAGCTCTGGCTCTGGAGACTGGGACCTCAGCACCGCTCCTCTTGTTCTCCTTTCCCTTCCCCTAGACCCTCCTCCCAGCACCGAGCATTGCAGCCTGCAGGCCCCCCCTCTCATGTTTCGCCGGTGTGTGCCGGAGCCGGCCGAGTCCATTGTAGATTTAAGGAGTGATCGTGTTTCAGCGACAGCCAGCTGGCCCGCCTGAAACCGTGTATTGATTAATAGAACGCCTGTAATGTGAGGTTTGCAATCGTAGCCCTTGTGATTTTTTCACGCCACACGAAACTGCTCTGGAGATGCCAAAGTATGAAATAACCCCCCCATTTCTCTTCTGACGTTAATAACATTTCAGAAACGAGCAGCGTGATGGTAATCATCCATGGCGACACGCGCACTAAGGACAGGACCCCCCCATATCTCCGGCTAATGGCCGTAATGGAGATTGATGAAGGTGCCCTGTTTAAAACAGCCCATCTGAAGCCTGGCGTGAGCCGGGTTCACTGGGGGGTCTTGGATCACTTTCATGCAAACCTTCTTGAAGCCATTTAGGAGTCAGTTTTATTCCACCACTGTGCTATAAGTTATGAAGATGTGTTTTTTTTTTTTTTCCTCCCTCCGATGCCCGGTGCACTGAGATGTGCTTCACGTGTCCTTCCACCGGCCCCCGCTGAGCCCCAGTGCGCATGGTACCCTAACCCAGTTTTCCTTGGGACGGCCCACGTGGAGTCTGACCCACCGTCTGGGTAAACACTCAGCAGCTGTTTTTCCAGGGCGGTGAAACGGCACAATATGAAAAGAGTCGTCGGGTAGTGGGTGTGAAGTCAGTGTGTTGAGCGCTAGCCTTAGCGTGCCACTGCGGTGCCCAGAGTCACCCTTGAGGGGCGCTGTTAACATTGTACTGCTGGTGGTGTTTCCAGCCCTCAGACTGTCTGTTACACTAAGTGATGAGAATCAGTGTGCATGTCCCCATTGTTTCTGTCATCAGATGACATTTGGGCTGGCATTTCATTTCCATCATTTAAAGTCCCTAATTTATTTTTTCCCCTAAAGAATTAAGTGTATTTATATCTGCACGTAAACCTAATGAGGCAGGGTACCCTTTGAGAAAATCGGGTGCTTGAAGAAAATAAACACAGTAACTAACAGCTGGGTGAGAGCAGAGTGAAGGCGGGGGCCCTTTGTTCCGTGTTCCAGACGTGCCATTGGGTCATGTGACATGCAGGGTCCCGGCCACCCGTGTTCACTGAGGCATGGGTGCTGTGGAGCCGCTGTGGCGCTCAAGCTTATGTGCTTGTTTGTTTGGGGAGTAAACTCACGTCTCCCAGCTTAGCGCCATCGGCGACTTTGGTAATGCGTTTGTGTTTTGTGCTTTGGGAGAAACTTCTATCCATTTCTCTATCGTGCCCCAATATGTACAGAAATGCAGACTACAGCAAAAATCACCACAGTTTGGATTTGACAGTGCGTCAGTGTTCATCATGATTGACGTTGCACCTTGGAGGCTCGATGACCCTAAAGCTTACCGGATCGACCTTCCCTTAGCTGTGTGTGCCCCCCCTAGTGTCCATTTAAAGGAGGTACAACCGAGCTGGCATTGTGACTTCAACTTTGTGATCGTCACGAACCAGTCACCGCCCATTAGCACACAATTAAAGATGAATGAATGCAGTGTATTTACAGCCGCCCAACTGCGCGCTGACTTCTGCTTTGATGAGCTTGGTTCTCCGTGTTGTTCTGATTAATGAGCACGGCACATACCCCTGCGGTCCTGTTGAGTCATTGCCGCCTCCTCCTTCATGTAGACGTAACCACGGAGGACAATCCCCCCCCCCCCCAATTTCGAAGCATGCCTGTGACACGGCGGGCCGCCTTGAGCCCCCTGCTGAGGACTCCCTCATTTTTTATGCCAACCACCCCCCCTGCAAATGAGGAGCAGACTGCTATTCTCAAGGCACTGTGGTCCGAGAGCCTATATTGATCACAGCAGGCCCGTCCCAACAGCACAGCCCCCCTCCCCCCACACGCCGGCTTTCTGCGGTCAGACCCCCCCCCCCACCCCCCTTGCCCCCCCTGCCTCCTGTTAGCACACTCTCAGGCTCTGACATCACTGGCCATGTGGGACAGAGAGGCAGCGGGAGTGGAACTCGCTTGGCTGGCAATCCGGAGGCAGACAATGCAGCCTGTGTCTCTGCAGAGAAGCAGCTGGCCTGCAACCTCAAATCCCCTTTCTGACTTTTTCTTGCCCCCCCACCTCACCATGTCCGGGTGTTTATGTACTCGGCGGGCGTCAGTTCCCCTCTCCCTAAAGTTCCCGCCGCCTTTCCCCATCTCCCCGATCATAAGGAGCCTCCTCCTCAGAGCACCTGTCAAGCAGCTGCCTGAGGGCCCCATCCAGAGCCCCTTTTCCACGGCCCCGTGGTGACCTGGGACTCGCAGCCAGAACCACCGAGGACACGTTTCACTTTTGACCCCAGGATCAGCATCCTGGCGGAGCTCGTTTTGGACCCTCTGCCCTTTAAACAAGGAAAAGAAGTCTGTCTGAATTCATAGGTAGTAAATTAAAGCAGAGTAACCTCTGAGAGCAGACCCTCGTAAATGGTTCACTTCCTTTCCGGACAGAAGCCCTCCCTCGTTACACTGGTATGACTTCTGGTTTCCGTGACTGTGAAGAAAACCACGTGTTAATCACTTTTATATCGCTGCTCGTCACATAAAACCAGCCCACATGGCTCGTCAAATATATTGTGCTCCTCATCGAATCGGAGCTGAATAGTAGTTTTACGGTGTGACCTGATTGCATCGTGATTTATAGTCATAGGGCTTTTGCACGTGAGGAATTCAGCAGTGTTGCCTGTAACTGTAGGTTAAATTTTATTTCATGTTATTCCTACTTGTTGGTTATCAGAAAGCACATAACTCATACCAATTCATCGCCCTGAGTTTGTCCCTGTGTTCACTTTAAAGTACTAGCCTTTACCCAGACAGAGGACTTTTTAGGGAGCCTGAGATTGAATGTGAGGCTTTATCGGCAAAGGCGGCTTGTAAATGCTCATTTTTCAATGTCCAACATTCAGCAGTGGAGTAGAGATCCCAACGTTTTGCCTTATTTATTTATAGCTCGCCCTGGAATTCTCTAATGGAGCTAAATGGCTTGTCGCTTTTCCTCAGCAGTGAGTGCGTCCATCACTTTGCTGGAATTATCTCTGTCCTAGAAATTACAACAAGCATGGGAATGGAGCCTATCCATTGCCGTAGCTTTCCAACTGCTCTCCCGCACGTCGGATCGGGCTTCCTCAGAACCCCCACGTGTGTCCTGGCACGTCAGCCGTCTCACTTCCCACTTGGCATGGTCTGCACTGCCCTCTGCAGGATCCCCTTGACGCCACACGCTCCGTCATCGTGATCCGTTCCCTCGTGCCTGGGGGGGTGGCTGACACGCATGGTGGGCTCCTCCCGGGGGACCAGCTGGTCTTCGTCAATGACACTCACCTGGACGCGTGCGACCTGGCCCAGGCGGTGGAGGTGCTGAAGTCGGCTCCACCTGGCAAGGTCTACCTGGGAATCAAGAAGCCCCTGCAGGTAGGCGGGTCACAGAAGGGTTCACCGTGTTAAACGGTGTGGCTCCTCAGCTCTAACCCTGCTGCCTGTGTTGACCAGATGGAGGCGCCAGAGAGCAGCAGCATCCCGGAGGAGGACGGGGACCATGCAGGGATGCGAGAAGAGTCCAAGCAGGAGGAGGCTCTTGGACCCTTTGACTCTCTGGCCGTACCTAAGGTAACCTCACAGCCCTATCAGCAGTCAGTATAAAGAGTCACACACAGATATAGAGAGAACTGCCCTGGGTACAGGCAAACCACAAGTTATGAACAAGATCCATTCCCTAAATCTGTCGAATTTGTAGGTAAGGCATAATAATAATACATAATATTATTACATAATACAATAATAATAAAAGTGGCTGTATACGGTACTGTACAGTCAGTCCTGCTATAATGCATTCCTGAAAATCCTCGCGTTCACTAAAATCGCATACTCAAATACACATATCCGATGGGAAAAAAGGGTTAGGGTTAGGGGAATGTGACTCCAAAGGGGAATGTGACTCCAAAGGGGAATGTGACTCCAAAACTTCCAAAGTAACTTTTTTAATACAATAATAAATTACATCATAAATCTCTCCTATGGGTTATATGAGTCTCGCGGGGATTGCTTAGTAACTAGAGGTGCACCAATCCAATATTCGGATCAGTATCGGCACCGATCCAGACCTATTAAACGGATCGGGTATTGGCCATATGTGACAGATCCACGTCCGATACTTACTTATTTAGTTTTCGGCAGTCTGTAAAAAGATGGCTCCTATTTCTTGTAAAATCGATATGCACAATCAATCGCATGACCGCCTTTTCCCATTTTAGGTTTAGGGTTTTTTTTTGTGGCATTAAAGCTGAATGCTAACGCTGCCACTCGGTGGGTGTGAGCGCTGTGACTTCTGTCTGCTGTGATGTCATGTGCATACCCTTAGGGGGAGTGGGGGGCGGAGGGTAAGAACATCTGATAACGTGACCGTCTGGGAATATTTTACGCTTTTAAACAACAACTAGTAGCACAGAGTTTTGCAATCTTCGTAAAAACAGTTTTGTGAGATAGAAGTAGCATTTAGTGGAAAATCTCACTAAACAAAGTGAACGCAATTGTGTGAGAGCGTGCGTAATATGAAAAAGCAGTGTATGATTTGGGAGTCGCTAACTTGGGGTGTTTTCCACACTTGGTGCAGCTTGTGATACTCGAGGGGCTGCAAAAGCAGTGAAGTGTAAATGACACTATTGCTAGTGGGAGAAAAATCATGGTGCATTCTAAGCATTTGTCACTTGCGTATACACTATCCTTCAAAGATATTCAAATTGAACTCAAAGTGCATCAGAAAATGCTTAAAACAAGTACAAATGAGGCAGAACAGTATGTTATGCATGTTTCTAGTAGCCTAATTAAAGATTTTTTTTTTTTACATTTTTTCATTTGTATCTACTAGTTTAAAAATTTTAAGAACACAAATTATAAATATATTCTATATATTTGTTATATTAAAATATTGAAGTAAAATGAGCTCTTGTATAATAATCTGTATCGGTATCCCCAATTGTGTATTGGAATCGGATCAGAAATGAAAAAAATGTGGATAGGTTCATCCCTACTAGTGACCATTTCAACTGAACATACAGAACTTGGTAACTTGTCGAGAGCCAAGAGACTGAGCCACGGCCACCGTGTGGCCTGACATGCACACAGCCCAAACACGACGCATTACGGCATGCGGAGCGTCGCTGAATAATATGGCTGTCGTCAGTCTATGAAGCGCAAGTGTACATGAATTAACAAAGGTTGCTGTATGTTTTTATATGATCATTTGCCAAATATTTTTAGAATCTAAGATTTTGACTTGTGCAGTGTGTAGAAGTTTGATTCTTTTAGATTTGAAAACCGGTTCTACCGTTTCACTGAAAAGAACCGGCTCTAAAGAATGATTCCATGACTAATCGGACGTCACTATCAGTCACTTGGATAGTTGTTTTGCGTGCTACACCGACGGAAAATCGCTCCAATACGTATGCGATTCTGCGTTATGCTGGACTTGGGTACTAATATATCAGTGGCATTAGAACAGATTCGTGGTGTGATATCACGTGCTGTAGCAGGACTCACTGTGTATTGTACCTTGAGCCACTGAATCTGCGCAATGTTTTCATGAGTGTCACAAAGTAGCGCGTTTGTTAACCTTTTAGTGTAATGGGCTTTATAGCGTCCCATTGGTAAGTACGAGGTGTCAGTATTAGTCAGATGTTCTTATCTCGCCGGCTGCCTCTATATTCATTCTGTATTATTAAATCTCTGCCTGTTTTAACTGAATTTTCAGCACATGAGGTGATGCCTCTTTACCTCTATATCTGTGCATGTACTTCCGAAAAACTGATAAAATCAGCAGGTTGCGAACAATTTAATATAGTAATGGCTGATTTTTATAAGTATGCGTAAGTGTCATCCTCTTGAGAGCCTGACCAGGGTAAGTGGTAGGGGGTAGATGCATGGATGAGTGGGTAAGTATTATGGGCAACATTTGCAAGACCAACTTTCTAAAGTCCATCAGCGTCTCTTTGAGTTTTTTTGTTTCTGAAGAAGAGTTTTATAATCTCTGAATGGCCTCCTTTTATGGCCATGTGCTTAAATAGCACTGGTGTTGATGGTGTTATTTTTAGATAAGTGTGGGATGAGTATGTGGTCTTAGCGAAGGAATAAAAGCCTAAATTGATATGAAAGGAGAAGTGGCGTCAACGCGCGGCCCCTCTGATCACTCGATGTGTGCCAGATTACCCTTGGATTTTAGCACCGATGTCATTTCGTCGAGGAGTCAAGTGCTGCCGTAAATCTACCGAAAAGGGGAGTAATTGTGCTATTAAGATTTTAGAGACTGCACATTTTTCATGGTAAATTGGTTCTGGGCTTCAAGGAGCCCCGGTACAGAGTCGCTGAGTCAGCCCCTCTGCGGTGGTCGGGTGGCGTGATGTGTGAGTGAGCTTTCGGCTGCGTGATCCCCAAAGCGGCTGGCTCAAGTGTAGCTCGAGGACGACCCCCCCCCCCCCTCCAGGAAATCATGTTCGCCTATTGAGCTTCCCAGGATGGGACGTCCCTCTGCTGCTGTGTAAATGGAGGTCTGGGTGCTCGGCCGACCGTGGGGAGAATGGGCGGGCCAAGGAGCTGTGCTTTAGTTATCGGGGAATCCCAAATGAATACCAAGTCTCCACCTAAAATCTACAGGTAACAATTGAATTGTGCTTAAATCTAAGTACATTTCATAGTATTCAATCTGATTTATCTGCTGATAAGACCTTGTGATATTACGTTAAATAGAAATTCCCCATCACCTCTATTCCTGTTCAAAATCTTCCGAGTTTCCAAGAACCGTCTTTGGTCGTGTGTAACAAGTGCATTAAAATTCTCATTCAGTCACATTCAGCCAAACCCAGCATGAGGAACCACAGTATACAACATGCAGAAGAGAATGGGAAACAGGCAGACAGACGTGCAGAAGGTAGGAAGTGTTTTGGCAGGGTGCGTACTGGACAGACAAATTAAGATCGGTCCCACCACCGTAAACACAGCTGTTCAGCTGGATTCTTATGAAATTCTCATTTAGGTTCTGGGAAGTAGAGGTACCTCCACTTGCGTTCCTGTAGGCTTTGCAGTTTCCAGTGTCTTCACACTGAGATTTATTAAGGCGTCTTATATGAAATTTTGTAGAAAATTGTTTCACAGTGACCAATGAGCAGAAACTGCTGTTGAAAATCCCAAAACGCAGGCTGCAGAGGCAGGGGCATTATAAATTTTAAGTTGACTAATGGAAAATGTATTTTATTGTTGTGTTACTTCGTAAATTTGTATGGAACATGCAGTACTGGGACATGAAGGGGACCAGAGCCACGCGGACAGTCCCGTTTGGAAAGGCTTCTTTTTTGGGGGGAGAAAATTGGAATGTGTTTTGGGTGGACAGGATGTACGCAATGCCTGGAAAACAACGGAGAATAACCTAGAAACCAGCTGCCATGTAGCTAGGGCAACAAAATAAAAGCGTCCCAGGGCAGCCTAGGCCCGTGTCACTGGGGGAGAAGCCAGACCCAGCAGAGCACCCTGTGTATGCAGAGGGGGCGAGGAGGTGGGAGGGGTCAGGCGCTGAATCTGGGCGCGTGACTGGACCAGTTGGTGGCATAACAGTGTTTACAGCAACGTATTCCCTAGAGCAGGGTTTCTCAACCACTGGCCCCAGGTAATCAAACTTAGAGGGGGACACCCCGGCCCACCGACATGATAAATGATGAATAGCTGGGCCTTGTGGATGGAAAGTTGGAGAAACCCTGACCTAGAGCCTCATGGAAACAGGCTGAAATAAGCTAGCAAGGGGCTTATTGAGTGCATGTTTTTGCATCCAGTTGGTGTTCGGCTTTCAATTTGTTGCAAATTCCATATTATTCACTGTCTATTATTACCTGATTTGAGCTGTATATGCATAGCAGATCCGCTATCGGGATGTTTACAACTCAGAAGTCCGTTGGCGAATTAGATGAGGTCAGTAGCACCCTTAACACCGTAAATAAAGCACTGATAAGCGTCTTGGCTCTGTTGGCGTCCGTGAAGACGTTAGTTATAAATTATAGGCCTGTTTACCACCGTTTTCCTAAAAAGCTGGGGCAAGGAAAAAAGCCTATTTGCATGTTCCGGTCCGTACCAGACTCACGACAGCAGGTCGTACTTTTGACAGGTTTTATTCTCTTTCTGCAGTGTGCAGCTCGTATTGAGATCACTCCTCCTTGCATGGCTCTTTAACATTGTACTGGAACTGATTTAATTTAGCAAAACTGCGGTATCTATGAATCAAAGCTACTAAGAGAAATGAAATAGCTGGGCTGTGAAATAAAAGCCTTTTTCATAATGAAATTGGATCTGCGGCTCAGGTTCAAGATCTGCGTGTTTCTGTACACGTACATTACTGATACAACAGGACGCTTCAGATGTTATCACTCCTGCTGTGATCTGATATCACTGGTATTTCATTGTTAACATCTGTCCACAAACAATGTGTAGCCACTGTTAGCGATTGTCTAATGTGGCGCTTTGGTTTTGCAAGGTAATTGTGAGCTTGACCCTGAAAGGACACCAGCTTTAACCCCAAACTCTGCCACCTCCTCGACTTCAGTCCAGCTGGCCACTCGTTTCCCCCAACAAGAGCCAGATCTGACCATTTCCCAGTTTTCTGTTAATGAAAATGGCACACGCACACAGGCCTCAGTGCTCAGAACGTCCTTTCATGGTTATTCCTCATGATGGCCTTCATTAAACTTTGCAGGTTTTGAGGTAACCTTCTACATAGGGGAGAGTGTGATGTGAGTGTCTGACTCTTCCGTTTGCATACCCCTGCCCCTGCAATCCTGACAGAGTGAAGCCCTGAGGCCTCCCTCGCCGGAGGAGCTGGTGGACGACCCGGAGCTGATTCTGGACTGCTCCGTCTCCCTGCCCCACTACGCCTCACCTCTGTCCATAGAGGAGACCGAGATGGCTGTGGACGATGAGCAGCCCGTGGCGGAGATTGACGATCTGAAAGACCGCGTGGAGGACCTGCCGTTGTATTCCAAGCCCAGCGCCACCTTGTGGGCGGAGCCAGACGACGACATCAATCCCCTGCCCACTGGGGTGAGTCTGGGGGGCGAGGTCAGAAGCGGACGACCCAGCTGTATTGCTCCTGTGTGGCTTTTCAGAAGCCAGTGATTATAGCAGTGAACATTGATCGCTCCCTTACTGTTGTCTCTTTGCCATTGGATCTAAGGTCAAAGTTTCCTGTATTGTTTAAAATGTAGGAATACTGCTTTTTTTGAAAGGAGGAAGAGGAGGAGGATGAGCAGGCTCGAGGCGAGTGGTTGTGGTGGGCAGGCCTGGAGCCCCGAGCCCAGTTCCCTCCCAGTGAGTGTCTCTGTGGGGTATTAGTGCGTCCGTGCTCTCACTCAGCAGCTGTGTTTGGGGTGTGTGTGTCAGACGGTTCTCGTCTCGCAGGCCAGTCAGCAGCCGAATGGTCTGGACCCCCCGAAAGCGCCGCTCCCTTTGACTCCAGGGCCAGTGTGTCTGAGCTGCCGGCATCCGACACAGACACTGAGTGAGTCCTGTCAACACACACACACACACACACACACACACACACACACACACGCACTCCCACACTTGTGCGTGTGCCAGACCAAAGCTCTCAGGCTTCTCATAGGTTGTACTTGGTAATTTGTTTTTTTTTGTTTTTTTTATTTCTCTGGCTGTTGATTTAGTGTTCCAATTTTGTGTATTTTTCCTTGGAGTTTATTTTTTTTATGAGTCAGTAAATTAAAATTTAGGCACAGCGCACAATTTCACTCAAGTTACTGAAGAGTGTTTGTATAACAGCCTGTTATCCATTAAATAATCAAGCCGACGTGCTGTAGCATTCAGTGAAGTCTTTTTGGCTGCTTTTAGTTATGTGGCGTCTGAAGTCTCTTCTGGTTGTGATTTATTCGCTTCATCAGCAGATAAGAGGGGTTGCAGTGCCACCTGCTGGTGGAAATGTGGTACGGCAGAGAATTTGAAGTTGGCTCTAATCCCTGCCACTTTGTCGAGCGACATTGAGAAGCAGCTAGGAGCTCATCTGACGTGTAGCATAGTGAAATGAAGACCATGGAGAATGGCTTCTAATCTCGTAGCACCGCCAAAACCATACTGTCATGGGTGCTTTTGTGTTCCTGATACACAGCCACTTTCTGTGGTGCAGGGCCTGGTCTGTGTCATACCCACTGTAATGAATGCTGCACCTTGCATCCATTCAACTGAGCTTCAGGCTTTCGTAGCTCTGCAGACATCCCTGGGCCTCCTGGTTGTGTACCGGCATGTTTCAGGTGCTCTGCAAAGTGTGTGTGCGTGTGTGAGGCATGACGTTGTCAGGTGACCACCTTCCTTCCCCCTCTGCCAGATCCGCCCACCCCACCGCCCCAGAGAAGTGGAGGACGCGGGTGAAAAGCAGCACTCTGCCTCTTAGAGGGCCACATAGGTACAGGTACGGTGTCTGCTAAATAAATAAGTGGAAGTGGAAGTCTGTGTTACTGTGTGTTTCTGGGTGCTGAGCGCCCTCTGTCTGCTCCTTTCAGCGAGTTACCGGAGCGCGAGGAAGGCGAAGGAGAGGAAACGCCTGTGTTCAGTCACTGGGGCCCCCCGCGCAGGTCTGCCTGTCTGCCTCTGTCTGCCTGCCCCTCGTCTGCCTCTGCCTGCCTGCCCCTCGTCTGCTTCTGCCTGCCTGCCCCTCGTCTGCCTCTGCCTGCCTGCCCCTCGTCTGCGTCTGCCTGCCTGCCCCTCGTCTGCCTCTGCCTGCCTGCCCCTCCCTCGTCTGCCTCTGTCTGCCTGCCTGCCCCTCGTCTGCCTCTGTCTGCCTGCCTGCCCCTCTCTGCCCCTCTCTCTGTCTATCTCTGTCTATGGGAGTTTTTCCACCGCACTTCTGTTACAGTATTTTTGGTACTTTTCCTTAGTGATGTACCAGTACCAAAAGTTCCAGTACAAAAAGAATGGAATACTGCTTTGGTACTTCAGTGCTTTGGGGTGGCACTTGAAACACTTTCTTTGTCCTTTGGTTATGCAAATAGCCTGCCTCTGAAACGCCATCGTGAAAAAAGTTGCGAACTCGGAAAGCGATAAACGTAGTAAAAAAAAATTAAAAATATTGCGATCTGGTCAAACAAATGCAACAAAAAGATCAGGATGGCATACTTGAAAATACTTGAAAAAGTATTTTGTTTAATATACTACCGATGTGATTCAGATAATTTTGCTGTAAAAATACTGGGGTATTTATAAAGCAAAAAGCATTTCTTAAATTTCTCACAAACCGGTCTAGGAGTGATTTAAACAGCGAGAATGAAAATGATTATGATTGTCTCGGAGAACGCATGCCGGTCTCCTGCAAAAGCAAAAGGCAGAATTGTGATGCCATTCCAGGACGGTACCAGTGTCTTTCTCAAAGTACACAAAGTACAGTATCTGCCTGTCTCTCTGCCTGTCTCTCTGCCTGTCTCTCTGCCTGTCTCTCTGCCTGCCTGCCCCTCTCTTTCTCTCTCTCTCTCTCTCTCTGCCTGCCCCCTTCTTTCTCTGTCTATCTCTGTCTGCCTGCCTCCCTGTCTGTCTTTCACACCGCTTTGTGCTCTGATCTCAGTTGGCCCTTTAATGATGCACCGCCCCACCACAGGGTGGAGGTATACTCGGATCCAGGCGAGCCGCTGGGGATCAGCATCGTGGGGGGGCGCACCGTCATCAAGCGGCTGAAGAACGGCGAGGAGCTGCGGGGGATCTTCATCAAGCAGGTGCTGCCGGGCAGCCCCGCCGGGCGCTGCAATGCCCTCAAGACCGGTGACAAGATCCTGGAGGTGAGGCGGGCGAAACCCACACCGTCATCACCGCTCTGGGGGGCCCCGCCCCCGCCTTTGACCCTCCTGCCGCTTTCCACGCCCAGGTATCAGGGGTTGACCTGCAGAACTCCAGCCATGAGGAAGCGGTCCAGGTCATCAAGGCAGCTCCCAGTCCTGTGGTCTTCATCGTTCAGAGCCTGTCGTCCACCCCACGCCTGCCGGTGCGTCCAAATACCCCCTCACCCGCTGCGTGCGTGCGCGTATGCGTGTACGTATGCGTATGCGTGTGCGTGCGCGTGTGCGTGTGCATATGCGTGCGCGTATGCGTGTGCGTGCGTGTGTGTGTGTGCGTGCGCGTGTGTGTGTGCACATGTCTTTATGTGCGTGTGCATCCTTGGGCTCAACGGCCCCTCGATCCCCTGTGTTCCATGGTAAATCTTCAGCATCTCCTGCCTGCCCCCCCCTCCCCACACCTTTGAGAAATATTTATAGCATTTACCTTTTTCAGGAGACAATTACCAGCACTCTCAATCAAGATCAAATCAGAGCACAGCTGTTCTAAGCCAC